ATTAATAACAGAGCTAAAGCATCATTAGCAGCAAGAGCGAAGTAATTGAGAATATCATAGCGGTAGACTCTATGAGAAAGCTATAGTTGACTAGTTAGAGCCATGATTATATATTAATTCACTGCACGCAGGGAAAGTGAAGAGCTACAAGGAGTGTTGAGTGGGGATAACCCATGAGCATGAGAGTTCAAAAAAAAAAAAAAACCCATGAGCATGCATGACTGCATCACTGCATCAGGGCCCTTGCAGTGCAACTAGGTGAAAATGAAACTGACGGGGGCACCTGCGGCTGGTTTTGCCTTGGTTTGATTGCTGTGCTGGATCGCCCATTCCTCCGGCCGCGTCCTGCCCACCTCACCCTGTCGCCTCCACTCGCTTTTCCACCACAGCAGCCCAGCAGCCCAGCAGCCCCCTCCTGCCTGCTGCCTCCCTCTATTTATGATGCTTGCCTTCACCGAACAGAGGCAGTAGTGTACTCGTACAATTGAGCCGCAAGAAAAGCATCGAATCGAATCGTCTTCTCCATCCCAGTTGAGCCAATTCCGCCATTGTTGAGCAACCGAGCCACCGTCCAGATTCCAATCCAAGATTGCTTCCTTCCTTGCCTGCGCCGGCCATGGAGAAGGAGAATCCGCAGCTGCATAGCAGGGACCTGCAGGTAAAGTCAGGCCCAGACTCAGATACATCATTCATGTGTGCTGGAATGGAATTGGCTGCACTCTTATCGCCCTTAATTAATCCATGTGTATTGGGGTGGAAAAAATTAAACATTGTTACTGTGTAATCCAATTCCTTGTCAGATGAGATGGGATCTTCGGTAATCTTTTAGTGCTGGTATCTTGTACTAGTATATATGCAGTTACAGATTATTTGACTTGAAAGCCTTTTTGTTTTTTTTTTAAAAGACTTCAAGAGCCTTGCTACCTCTGCTGCTCTGAAATTAGATTAGATAGAGTAGTGTTTGTTTCCATGGCAATCAGCAATTCAGCAGGCAGGCTGGCTGGCAACAGATTGTTATGTGCGACTCTGCTGATTTTCCTTCCTGGTTGTATGTTTATATCTGAATGTTTTTTTTTCGCCTATATATATCATATATGCAGCTGCAAACTCTGAAGGAAGATCGCTTCGCTCGTCTGAAGAATCTTGTTACTCTTTTGTACTGTATGTATGTAGGACGACGCCACTGCAGCAAGTGTTGTTTCATCCGACCAACGGCCGCGGCCACATCTCTGCATCGACATCCCGGCAGATAACGTCCCGACGCCGACGCAAGGCGGCATGAGCATCACCCCACCTTCCAGCAGGAGGGGGCACCAGACAGGCAGCAACATCCCCAGCACGCCCGTTTCTTCCTCCAGCTCCAGCAGCAGGCCCAGCAGGCCGCCTCTGCGCTCGCCGTCCTTCATGCTGAGGCAGACGGTGAAGAGCCTGCTCCCGGCGGGGAGCTTCAAGTCGTCGGCCGTCTCCAAGCTGTTCAGCGCCACCAAGGTGATGGCCAGGACGTCGTCGCTCCCGCTGGAAGATGCTCATGCTCTGTCGTCGTCACAGCCACAGCCACCAGTTCAGCCGAAACCAGGTGCAGCAGTGCACCACATCTGCCGCTCGCAGTCCCTCCCCATGAACATGAAGAAGCTGAACAACGCCAAGAGCTTCAAGCGGATGGACTCGCTAGGCGGCATGTACCGCGTCGTCCCTTCCACGCCCAGAACCCCTGTCGTCGACCCTGACATAGTCCCTTCACACTCAGGTGGGTGTCTGATGAATCGTTTCCGACAGTTACAGACTTTGCTCTGCATTATTCTGATGATGCGCATGCATTTCGTGTTCAGGGACGACCGGCGGCGGCGGCCACGACGACGACGGCGGCGAGGACATCCCGGAGGAGGAGGCGGTGTGCCGGATCTGCATGGTGGAGCTGTCGGAAGGCAGCGACACCCTCATCAAGCTGGAGTGCTCGTGCAAGGGCGAGCTGGCGCTGGCGCACAGGGACTGCGCCGTCAAGTGGTTCAGCATCAAGGGCACCAGGACCTGCGAGGTGTGCAAGCAGGACGTGCAGAACCTCCCCGTCACCCTGCTGCGTGTCCAGAGCGTGCAGCAGCGCGACCTGATGAATCGCGGCGGAGGGAGCACGGCCAGATACGATCGGTACAGGTGAGCTAGATGCATGCTCTTAACAATTCCTCATCGCTCTCATCAGTCATCATCAGAAATTCAGAATTATATTTGCAGCAAGTCTTTAATTTGTGGATGGATTGGTGAACACCTAAGCAGCTAACGCTGGAGAGTGACTCGATATTATATACTAGTTTATGAATGACAAATTTGACCAGAATTGCTTTGCTTACATATGACAAAATTGTCGTTCCTTACATGCTGGTCCCATGGGGTATTGTTTGTTAATTGTTTATTTACTTGTGAAGAAGCAAGTTTTACTTGAACAATCCAAGCATCTGGGATGCCACCACGTACGCACACACGCATCTTTTATTTTCAAATAAGGATGCTAGCTATCACTACCTGCATCATTAGCATTATGTGGAGATTAACACCTGTCCTAGCTACGTACCATTTTGGAATGACACAATATAATATACTAGTAGCTAGTGTACTTACAAACAAATAGTTGGTTACCTCCTTTGAGCAGATCACCAGCACACGCGTTGTCAAAGTAACATCTCTCTTAAGAATCCAATCTGACTGATGTGATCGAGCTTTCACCTGAAACTCAGAAACTCTCTCTTGTCTTGTTACTCAGAGTTTGGCATGGGACGCCTATCCTTGTAATCATAAGCATCCTGGCCTACTTCTGCTTCTTGGAAGAATTACTGGTACTGCTGCTACCTCCCCGGCCACTCTTGTTCTTGCTAAAATTGACATACACAGTATATGCATGCATGGTATGCTAAATTCACCTGACTGACAGGTGGCCCATGACGGCATTGCTGCGCTGGCTATATCGCTGCCCTTCTCATGTATCCTGGGCCTCTTCTCATCCTTGACCACCACAAGCATGGGTACGTCATGACATGACATCCACGTGTCAAACTAAAACACTATTATTACATATATAGATGCTTGGTTTCAGAAATCAGAGCTAGCCATGATACTTGTCAGAACCTTGCATTGCGTGCAGTGGCAAGAAGATACGTATGGATCTACGCGGCAGTTCAGTTCCTCTTGGTCGTCTTCTTCACCCATCTCTTCTACAGATATGTAAGCATACACCAACCAACACAGCTCTTCTGAACATGTTGTTATGTATGTATATATATATGTGCTGACCAGCAGCGGGTCTTTGCAATGCATTGCAGCTCCATTTGCAGGCCGTGATATCCATCATCCTGGCGACCTTCGCCGGTTTCGGCGTGGGCATGACCGGCAACTCGATCGTCATTGAGATACTACGGTGGAGGGCGAGGCGGGTGGCGCCTCCTACCCAGCAGGCTCGCCGTCACCGCAGGGCGCGTGCACCTCAGCAGCAACATCCTCCAACGGCGTCTGATTCTGATCAACCTTCCAGTCAGCCTTCAGCTGCAGACGTGGGAGCGGGGGGAGCGGGACAGCACGACGCCATGGCCGCCGCCGGCGATGTTGAGAACCCAGCCGTCCCTCAGGCATAGAACATTATTGCATACACGACTCTCTTCTACTAGTTTATATATATCGAGCAGCAGCAGTTTGTAGTTTGTTAGTTTACCAGAGAGGTTGCTTTGGGACCTTGTTACACTGTACAAAAGGTAGTGCAGATGGACTCTGAATTTTGTTTCTCTGATATATGCGGCCTTGAGCCTTGTGAAAGGAATCACTGGTTGGTGCTGCATTTTACTGTATGTACATTCTCTGTTCTCGCCTAACGAAAATCTTCAGGAAGATAAGCAAAATTGTTTGGAATGCTTTTCGCATCTGAATTTGACCCGATCGAGAGGCTTTGTCAGATGTACAGTTACAGCATGGACAATAATAGGGTTTAGGGTTTATGAGTTTACTGGTTGTGAACTAAACCCCCCCCTCCCAAAGTATTCTTCAAACCCAACAAGCAAGGTTAACCATTACAAGACATAATTAACTACTCTGGCCTCCATCAAAAGGAATCCGTGCATTTTTTTTCCTGAGTCAAACAATCAAGTTTGACAAATTTATATTACAAATAACAAACATTTGTGGTATCTAACAAGTATTGTTAGGTTTAGCATGAAAAATAGTAGTGTAAAAATGTTTTCTTTTTTACAAATTTGATCAAAGTTAAGATAATTTGTGACTTAGACAAATTAGATTAGCTTTCTTGGTGACGAAGGGAGTTGAGTTGAGTGATGTTTACAAAAAAACATAAATACATTAGTAATTAATCACTGAGACAAAGGTAAATGGAAATTTAACATAGGAATGAAGTGGTAGTAAACAAATTAACATCAGTTGTGACGACAGATAAGAAAAGGGTCAATTTTGTAATGAAAGTAGACATAGGGACACACACCAAAATATTCTTTCCCTTGTGATGCTGTCAAGTTGTAAAGGTAGGTCACACCGACCAGCCAGCCAGATACATATGCACTATACTTTTTTTGAGTATCCAGTCACACACAATTAATTAACTTTGCTATTTACCCTGCCCCACAGGCCCATAGGTACCCTTTTTCAGTGACTATACTACTATATATATCTATGCGTATCTGAACGAACCTGATGAAGGAAACCCCCTGGTGCACGCAAGAAACATATGCATGCATGGTGATGCAGACATGCCGCAGGTACATGCTTTGGGTTTGGGCAGAGTCTCAGCTCTCAAGGCTGGAATCGAATCGCTTCATCGCTTGTGCTCAAGCTTCAAGTTTCCCCCTTGACGCACGCTACCGTGCATCTCAATGGTGTTTGCATTCTGTCCTATATATACGTGCATCCGGGTCAAGGCTAGCCTTCATCGAGCACCACTGCACACATCTCGATCACTCTGCGACACCACGAACAACACAAGACATTAACACAGCACACAAGAAGCAACAATGGCGTCGTCCAACAACGTCGTGGCCACCGAGGTGAGCAACGCGGTGACCAAGCTCAACGACCACCTCGCCAGCGCCCTCGCCGGCAGCGAGAACACCACCACCGGCACCGGCGGGGCCACCACCATCATCACGCTGGCGGGGGAGAACAGCGGCGCCACCATGGAGGCTGCGGCTGGCGGCGACGTGGAGGACCTCGTCGTCGTCGGCAGCGCGGACGCGGAGGAGCACGACGAAGAAGAGGAGGGGGAGGAGAACGTGGTCATCACCGCCTACGCCAACAGCAACTACCAGGCCGTCAACAACTCGGTGCTCGTCGCCGGCAGCTGCGCCGTCAACGACCCCGGCGTGCACGTCGTCGTGGTGGAGCACGTCGACGAGATACGCGATTACGACGAGGACATCGACGTCCAGGAGTTCTAAGCATTGCATTACTGCAAGTGATGGTTTCAACGACAGTACGAACAACTCAGATCCCTCAGCACATAAATATGATGTTCTAAAATGTTACTAGTTGATGAGGTGATCACTATCACTATATGGATGAAGGACATATATATCATATCCATGCATGGCATATATATCTATGTAATCCCGGCTTTCAGTTCCGTTTGTGAAACTTCTTTGGCTTAATTCCTTGCTTTATTTAATTTGATCCATATATTAGTACAACATATATATTTACATTTTCTTGGGTCGACTTTGTACTGCTACTACTGTAAGTTGTTTGATGCATGCACACTACTGGAATAGAATTCTAGCTGAATATATACTCCATCCGTTGCAAATTACAAGTTGTTTTGACTTTTCTATAACTTTTATTTGCTACGCATATGTATAGATATATATAGTTTTTATTATGTATCTAGAAAACAACACCTTAAATTTGAAATGGAAGGAGAGGACAGGATCGCAATCATTATCCATCTAGACTACCAGAGCAAATGGTTTTGAAAAAGAAAACGTACGTACAGAAACAAATTAATATAATTAGTCTCCCCTCAGAACTGTGTTTTTTCCAGGAAAATAAAAATAAACAAACCAATATCGATGATGATCCTATAAAAAAAAATCGATGATGATCGATCATCAAGCGTGCCACTATTAGTTGATCACTTCATCTTGATCTTTAATTTTGTGCTAAAACCAATGATGAACTTACTAATGTAATCATGCGGGAGGATCTCAGTTCTCAGAGATAGTATATCTGCTGGGAATGGGATCCCACCACCACTAGACGGCGCCGTCAAGAGCAATCATGCATATATGTATCATCGATGGATTAGTGATTAGCAGTCACACCTACTGAGGATCTGTATGTCCTTTGCATTGGTCACTCACCCCTACGCATGCCTAGACTCTAGAGGATCGATCTGTATTATTGTGTGTATGGCGTTTTCGAAAGGTGGAAGCAATCTAATAACCACTCTGTGATTCGCAATCTAACCACCGCCCAAATTATGTTGAGATGTACTTGATCTCTTAGTTTCCTTCAGTTCTTTACTTTGATAATCTAGTTACTTCTATATGCATCTACTACACAAAACTTGTTTTCTTTGATACATGAAAATTTATTAATTTACTGATGAGATCACTCACTACCACAGAACAAACTAACATGGACAGTCAAAACGGGGTTTTAGGCTGACACCATGCCCGCCTCTCTAGTGTGGTCTGTGTTAATCAGTGAATAATAGGAGCGGGATGCATGCTCACCACTGTAAATTAAAAAAAAACACAAGAGCTGCCACTAAGCCTGTTGTAGGCTCTCTACCGAGATTGTCCCCCCTGCTGCCAAATGGGGTGCGGGTGGCGTGACCAGGCATCTATGCCGGATGGGCGGCCTCGCCCCCACGCTACTGCAAGGACTAAAGGAGACCCCCAAGCTTGTCATCAACCCCTCTTGCCATGAGAACGACAGACACTACTGGAGGCCGCGGCTTTGCCGAGTGTTTTTACACTCGGCAAAGAGCCCTTTGCACTCGGCAAAGACTTTGCGAATGTAGCGCTCGGCAAAGTCCGCTCGGCAAAATTTTTCTCGGCAAAGGATCTTTGCCGAGTGCTTTTTATCGGGGCACTCGACAAAATAAAAAACAATTTTGCCGAGTACTTAGGGCGGCACTCGGCAAAATATTTTCGGTCGTTCCACCGTTCACGGTTATTTTGCCGAGGGCCTGACCCAGCACTCGGCAAAAAAAAAATTATTTTTTTTAAAGATTACTTTGCCGAGTGCCCAAGTCCAAGCACTCGGCAAAGTTTTTTAATTATTTTTTTAAAAAATTACTTTGCCGAGTGCCCCTGTCCAGGCACTCGGCAAATTTTTTTTTTTTTTTAAAATTACTTTGCCGAGTGCTCCAGCCCAGGCACTCGGCAAAGAATTTCTGGATTTAAAAAAAATACTTTGCCGAGTGCGCCAGCCCAGGCACTCGGCAAAGAATTTCTGGATTTTTTTTGGAAAAAACTTTGCCGAGTGCCTTGTCCATGCAACTCGGCAAAGACCCCGAGAATTATAATTTTTTTTACATTCCATTGTAACAGACAATATATATATATATATATATATATATATATATATATATATATATATATCACATCACATCTATATCACCAACATGCATTATATATCACAAGCACACGCATATTTAATAAATCCATCACAAATGCACCAAAGTTCAACATCACAAGTTTATTATTACAAGTTCGACATCACAAAGTTCAACATCTCTACTACGGCGACGGAAACTGCTGGTGTGGCCCCCTGGACAGCGGTGAAGGACCGGACTGCGGCGAAGGGTTGACGTGATCAGCCGCCGGTGACACGCTAGCGGGATTGTTTGAACCCGCCGACGGAGGCTGCACAAAAGAGAAGAGATTGCATGTGTTAGACTAAAATTGAAAATTTCGGCACACCTCCCCTGCAGGGAGGTTTCAACTCTCAGAAGAAACAACGCACGAAGGCCGACAATCACAACGGCACAAAGGCCGACAATCACAACGGCAACGGAAGGCTGAAAATCACAATGGCACGAAGGCCGACAATCCCAACGACACGAAACGCATTAAACTTCCATACTCACGGGGTGAAGTGTCGAACCGAGCCGGAGCCGGCAATCGCACTTGGACACGATGCTTGCCCGATGGTTTGCATGATCGATACATGTCCGCCATCTCGCTTCTTCGTGGCCTCCACTCTGCGGTCGTGTGCTTATGCGTCTCCTTGTCTCTGCCATTTCGGCTTGCGGTGTTTTTCAATCACATGTTTGATGTTGCAAATCTGATCAATGTGTATAACGTTCAATGTCTGACGAGTGAAACCAGAATTACACAAGTTCGTCGACCCGCGATAGTGTTGGAGTAGGCCGTGCATGTATGGGAAGGCTTCTGGCCGTGCTCCGTGCCCTCACGTCGGAGAGAGAGGGTGCAGAGCTCGAGGAGTCGGCACCGTCTGCAATCCACAACCGCCTGTGCTTCCCCTTTGCCCCACCTCACGATCACCTCTATCTCAAGGGCTTAGTGCTCAGATTGTGATCGAGCCACGGAGCGCCCTAACCGCCTCCGTGTAGTCTCGACCTTAGCGTGGGCGCTTCGGGTCGAGTAAGCTTCCTAAGCGAGGGCATCCGGGTTGAAGACGACACCGGATTTCACCGGGCCCATGTGGGACACAGACCCATGCCCCAAACTCCGACACACGGCACGTCCGGGTGTGCCACCTCCTGCGAGAAAAGACGGCAAGATGATTAGAAATCGGGCAAAATTGAGCGTTAGAATAGATAAATGACATCTCAGACAAGTGCCCGCTTGAATGCGGGAGGTTGCGGCTGCCTTGGTGGTGAGTTGGAGCGGTCCTCGGTGCCGCTTCGCTTGCCTTGCTCATGCTTTGCGATGTCTGGCCGGGTCAAGGTACTTGCATCCACGATCCTCGACCATGCCGATCTATGCGACATGCACCACGAGGCCGGCACCTACACATCATCAAGTGTTTGACATATAAGAAGATCAATTCTGGACCTACTAAATCTCAAAACAAATTAATATTATTCACCTACCTGAAGGTACTGCTCCTTGGTCAGCGCCACATTTCTTGCGCCGGTTTTGTTGAGGGGCTCTTTCTTGATGGACCTGTAGTAGTCGACGTGGACCTAGAGTCGCGCCTCGTGAATCATGTCGCCGACGTACTTCTTACAGGCTCTGTGTGCCGTCTGATCCGCCAGGGTCTCTCTACCTTCTTCGGCCTTGAAGTACCTCTGCATACAAACACGATGTATCCGTTCATTATTTCAATAAAAGACTTAAGCAATAGAGGAGATGTATTGAGCTATGTTGTGAGACACTTGCCCAAAAGTCCACCAAAACCCGCTCCTGCTTGTTGTCCTGCTCGTCATCCGAGCCGAGCTTGTACCTGTCCCAGGCCCAGGCCGGCTCCCACCTCCCCTCTTTCAAGTCCACAAGGCCGGGGAAGTGTTTCCTGCACAGACATCCCAGGACGGTAGCGGGGGTGCGTGGGGGGTCAAGAGCACCCGACAGAACTAGCCAACCCCTGCACAAGTGATTACGAAAAATTATCAGTTTCTCTTTTGATTTTCAACATATCATATGAAGTACTAGTGATAACATCTATAGTTACTTACCTTCTTCCCACAGGACGAACCAGTGGGCGTCTGTCAGGAAGCGGAATCGGAGGAAGGCTAGTGGGACCTCGCAGGTAGGGAGCCAAGAAAGCAGAACTGTCCTCCGTCTGCTGAGTCCCCTCATCCCCCGACGGAGTGTCTGTGGTCGTGCCCGTGGCCGCCATGTGCTCCTCCGGGGTAAGAGACGGGTCCTCCGGCTGGTCGAGAGCCAGGGGAGGAGGCGGGTCCCTCCTGGGGTGACCCCGGCCCCTCCCCCCCCGTCTTTGGGCGACCGGGCTGCTGCTCTCGCACCCAGGCGAAGACGTCCCTCGCCTCCATTAGGCCATCGCTGAGTCTACCTCCACGTGCTGGAGGATTTACACTTGAGCGATTTTTTGCATCCGCGTGTTCTTTCCTAAATAGGACGCACCCCTTCGAACACACATGTATCTTGTCATACGGCATCTTAAGTGCAAGAAGAAGCTTCTCTGACTCGTACAAGTTCTTCGGCATAATGTGTGTCTTCGGTAGCATATCGCTCCACACGGCCACCATCTTGTCGAAGCCTTCTCGACTTAGGTTTAACTCGGCCTTCAACCCCATTACGCGACCAATGGCGTCCAGCTGAGAAACATTAGTATGATCATGAAGGGGTCTCTGTGCCGAGTCCAACATCAGGTAGAAGGCATCTGCGGCGCACCCTCCATCTCCTCCTTGTCACGTCCTTCAAATGAATCGAGCTTGGTGCGTGTCATCCAGCATGTCTGCTACCCGGCATCATCATCGAAAGCCTCGAGCCGTGGTCTCACCACCTCC